CAGTGTAGCTAACCATCGGTGACCATCATCCCGAGGTCCCCAGCCAGCGAGCCTAACGGGGCCTATGTGACCTAGTTTCCTGGTTAGGGTTTTCATACCCTCATACCAGGTCTTAGCTTGACCGCCCTTCGTTTTTTTCCAATCGCTACCAGCCTTGGCAAACGTCGTTCGCCGTGGCAACCTATCTGGTGACATGCGTAGCACATGTCCTAACCAGCGTAATCTATGGAGGTCGATCACTTGCTCTAGTGGACGACCGCGACTGCCTAAAACTCTACGCCTAAGCACAGCATTGCTAGTCCGGTTACCCCACCAGACACGTACAATGCTACGTAGACAGCGGTGTTCGAACACCGACAACTATTTTTATCCTGTTCCTTTAGTGGCCAAGTCTCTGCACCGTACAGCGGGACTGGCCGAACTGCTGCAGCATACTTTTGACTCTTCACAGACAGCCGGATGTCGCGACGGCGCCACAAATGTCTGAAGTTGGCAAATGCCAATCGAGCCTTTTGTATGCGCGCCGATACTTCATCTGTGATGCGTCCACCGGGTGAGATATAGCTGCCTAGATAGCAAAATTTGTCTACTTCCTCTATTACTTCCCTAGTTAAGGGTGAGACTGGGCGCTGGATCAACCCAATCTTGTAGTAGCATTTTACACTTTGAAGGTGCATAACGTCTACCGAACATGGGCACACTAGCACTCAAACTATTCAGAAAAGCTTGCAACTTACCTGCAACTTCGCTTAGCAGCACAATGTCATCCGCATACCATAGATCAGACAGTCTGCTATCTGGAAGTCAATCGATGCCATTATTCTCGCAGGAGGATAGGGCTGTTTCCATAATCAACTCTATCAAAACGTTAAATAGGAACGGAGATAGAGAGGGCAACTCTGTCGAACACCATCTTCCGTGGTGAACTCGGGTGGAAAAGTGCCGTAAGCTCGGACTCGGCTTCGGCTATAGGTATAAAGGGGTTGTTACATTGAAATTAACTTCTCGGACACACCTTTCAGAGAAAGACATCGCCAGAGTTTCGAGCGGTTGACTGAGTCGAAAGCCGCTTTCAGACCTAGGAAGATAAAGATGGTGGGTCTAGGAAAAGAGTGCCTGTGTTCTAGGATTTGACGAAGAGTGAAGATGTGGTCGATACAACCTCGACCATGTCTGAAACCAGCCTGGTTCTCACGCGTGCACACTTTACGTGCAGCAGACAATCGACGGAGTATGATACCTGCAAGGAGTTTAGATGCAATGTAGAATAAACTAATTTCTGTGGTTTTCACAGGAGGATCGGTCACCTTTTTTGTAAAGCGATTTGATTACCGATTCACACCATTCAGTTGGAACCTCTTCCACACTGAACCCAGGGGTTTTGTTAACTCCAAAACCAAGGCTAGATCTCCATCCTTAAAAACGGATGGGGACAGCCCGTCGGGGCCGGAATCCCCATGCTATTTGAGGTAACTTATTCCCCGGGAAACCTCCATTTCAGATGGAGGACTGATGTCAACTGGTAATATTTGCGCAGTTGAATCGGGTAAGGGGAGTTCTTGTTTCGAAGGAGACCAGCTTAACTGTGCTGTAAAATGTTCTGCCCAAGGTTTCGAAATTTGAATCCGTGTGCTGTCAGTTTCCTTACTTACCTTACCTTTCCTTACCTTACTTACCGCCTACATTCCTTGGTCCTGTACTCCTAATTAAACGAAAAGGATTGCGACTATTACCTTACCTATTACCCCATTATCTCTCTGTACTTCCCTACTCGCCACTTCTCGCGGTCATTCCTCAAACTCTTGATGAGCTGGCTTTTAAGGGATTTGCGCGTTTTGTCGTATTTTGAATCCGAAGGAATGGCTCCGTGAGCGTCCAGCAGGGAACCGATCCTTGCGCGAACTGGTGGATTCTGTGCACTCCCTCCTAGCACCTGTTGGCGTCAACTGGTCTCTCACCCCTTATATCGGCTTTCCGTGAAATAAAATGTTCCATTGCGGGTAATCTGAAAATTTTTCCTAAACGCGGGAGCGGCAAATCGACTATCCCCGTATATAGCGCTGAATGTTCATGAATTCAGCAATCCCACACCATTCACCTTCTAACGTTCTGTGCTGATTTGGACGTTTCCAACTCTTTCTTTTGCTTCTGACCTTGACCTGTATCGCTATTGGTGGCTGCCATAATCGATCAAATGGTTACCCGAAGTACCGCAATCATAGCCAGCGGATCAAGGAGCAATTTTTCATGGCTGTTGCAATTCGAAGCTTCCATTTTAATTCAACATCACAGTTTCATTAGGTGATCTGGTTACCAGGATGAACTGCTGCAAACAGCTTTCGTGATCTAAACACAGCACCTTGCTCCCTTTGACCAGAATTTCCTTATTCCTGCGTTTGCTAAAAAATAATAACTATCTATTACCCCAAATGATTGGTTTCTTTTGTGGTACAACACGATGAGCTGAGTTGGGTTCCAACAGTATCCACATTGCTTCAGTGATCAAAATCGACTGGTGGTCTGCATAGGGTGATGTGATCAATATTGGGAGCTGTCACGTGACACTTGGTTCTTTCAATGACACTGTGCACGTGAACGCGCGTGTCAACTATATTCGGTGCTCATCTCGTCTGATTGGTACAACCACCTGGAATGTTTGTGTGTATGTGTAAACATGTGCTCGACGGAAAAAGGGTATACGTTTCAAGCTGACTTGTTTCATTGCATACTATTTTGAAATTAATTGCACTCACTTTTACTGTTGTGAATAATTTGAAGTGTGTCTTGTTCGTGAGAATCTCCTGACGAAAAGTGTAACAGAAACTGTTGCTTACGATTACGCAAACAAACAGAGGTAATTTCACGCTGTGTTTTCTCTTCTGAACTCCAAACGGGAGAATGGCAAACAGCTTTTCGGCAGTGATTTACAACCGTACTCTCGCAGATCACGTGTAGGTTTTTTAACGTATTATCCCTCTTCTGCCACCATCGTTTTGTTTTTGGAACGCCTGTTATGCCTCACACTCGCCCATCAAATGCGCAAGATTTATTTCTACTGAACTGGAAAGTGGAAATCAAAATGAACTATGAATATAGCGCTCTAAGACTTCTCCAAGTAAATATTATATATAAATATAATATATAATTACAACGTCTGTTATATGTAACCAACGAAATACGCCGTCTCAACTTGATCACGTTAACCCTGATTTGGTCTATTTTTCATACTAGTATCTTTCTTCAATTCACCGTTTGTATGAAAACAAATTCTATCCGTCATGTGCACACCAAACCAAACTCTCATACGGTCTTGCAGGTTAAGGGGTATATTAACTTGTTGAGCTTGTGAAACTATGGATCTTCCTGCTGCTCTAGTGGCTCCTCGTGTTATTACCGACATTCCTTGGATGTCTTGGCCATCAGTTCATTTTTCCTTGGGTCACGTGCTAAACTGTCCGAACTCTGAATTGGTCTTCTCTCATTTATTCCTTGACCCACTGAACTCTGCACTGCATCTTAGTGAATGCCACCCAGTTCAACATGCTCATTTTGGTGCATTTCAAATGTTTAGCGGCTCGGAGCACTTGCACTTGTATTCTCTTGACGCTCAATTAGGAACGCACTTTTAGGACAGTTATAAACGGATTGGAAATTGTCTTCCAAAATTGGTCGAGTGGGTTATCGATCTGAAAGGGGCTTTCGACTCAGTCAACCACTCGAAACTCTGGCGCTGTCTTTCTCTGAAAGGTGTGTCCGAGAAGTTAATTTCAATGTAACAACCCCTTTATACCTATAGCCGAAGCCGAGTCCGAGCTTACGGCACTTTTCCACCCGAGTTCACCACGGAAGATGGTGTTCGACAGAGTTGCCCTCTCTATCTCCGTTCCTATTTAACGTTTTGATAGAGTTGATTATGGAAACAGCCCTATCCTCCTGCGAGAATAATGGCATCGATTGACTTCCAGATGGCAGACTGGTTTGATACTGCCCTCAACCTCACTCTGTATAAGAAGATATCAGATCGAGTAGATAGGTTTTGCTATCTGGGCACCTGTGTCTCACCTGGCCGGTGCGTTACAAGTGAAATCTCGACACGCATTTGCAAACTTGAGATATCCGTGGTGCCACGGTGACATCTATCAGTGAAGGATCGGTTGTATATTACAGTACTGCTCCACGGTGCAGAATCTTGACCGTGGGAATGGCGAGCAGATAAATCGGGATTGAGTGGATGACTGGAGTCATTGAGTATCTTTTGAGGGATGTTCTTACCTGAAGTGATATTCAGATTACACAATTTTGTGATCAGAATGTTTGAAGTAATAAGATAAACACGGCTGATAATCACCAAACCGCGACGTAGAGTAATGAAGTTCTTTATAAGTAGGCCAGGGAAAATAACGTGCGAACAATAAAGTATGATAGGAAAAATGTATTGATAAACAAATGAACATACAATTTCATGCCTCACTCGAAATTGTCGTAGCTTGCGTATTTGAAAAGACGCAGTCTACCAACACAAGCAAGCCCATTCGAGGACCACATAAGATTGCTATCTATACTAACTCCTGGGTCTTTCGTGGTGTGTTCTGGTGATGGGTAAGGAATTTATGACTGAGGGATCCAGGGCGTATTCGGATCGGCAAAGACTATAAATGCATTCAAAGCATTTACAAGTAATCAACTGGAGACCGGATTGGTTCGAAAATGATTGCACTTGCAACAACTTGTCGCAAAATGATTCTCTGTCCGATTGGTTTGAGATGGCTTGACAGTGGTGTCCATGCATCTTTTCAGTTTCTCTGCAACAATAATCGATTGAAATTCTAAATTTTCTCGTCGAGAAAGAGAGAGAAAGAGGGATGCAATTGAACTGACACTCGCGACCGCTCGTGATCGGATTCCGACACATACTAATTCCTTTTGTTCGATGCACACTTTTCTCGTGCCAGTTGGAATTTCGTATGCTTTCGGTGGTGTTTTCATAATTATTTCCCCAGAATTAGCCTTGGACGGCGGTAAGTCTCTATTTTTGAACGCACTAGGTTTCGCTGAGGACAACCTTTGCCACATGCGCTTACTCCTTTGTTTTTTGTTCGTCGTGGTCATGTACCAGTTCTTTCCGTTCGAATACGGAAACCTTTTTGTTGTGTGTGTGTGCTAAATACAATCCTTCTTCTGTTGCTTGATGCCCGTATTCGTTTTAACAGAATTTAATTCTATGTGCAGAAGCATAAACAGACGATAAACAAACGGTAAATCGGTAGATTCCTAATCAGTTCACGACCAGCGAGGTCTCGCAGATGCTTTACGGTCAACGTTCTTCCTCCAATGCGTTTTTCGCTTACTGCCTCAGTTTTTCGTTGCCCTTCCCACCAATTTTTTGTGCAAGCTATTAATCGCACACATTGTTTGCTTTCGTTTTATGCCTGCTACTTCATCTGACGGTGTGTGCGCCCACACACACATGATCCAATTGCGCGTGTGTCTTGGTTCACTCCGTCGAATTAATTGACATTTACTGTTCGCCTCGGAGCTGCGCTGACTCTACCGCCTACGTTTTAGGGGCGTGCGAAATGCTCATCTACTGTACCGCAGTTGACTCATCCAGAAGATTTTGTTCCACACACGCTAGTCTAATTATCGTACTGATCGCTATGTTTATTTGAGGATTTGTAATAGTAATGTGATAAACAGTATCGCGACACGGAGGTTTTTGTGATTAGCAACAACATTAAGAGTATCAACAGATTGGAGTGCTTGGAACAAGACGTCTCACGTAGAACAGGTCAGTCATAATCTGCTATTTGATGCATAATTCCTCATTAGATGTGCATTGCCTGTAGGTAAAGCCATCAATACCAATGTCTCTTCAAGCGATATTGTTCATTTTTGACTATTATGAGAAACCGCCAGTTTCATCTTTTTTGCGCGCCCCAACCTTACTGCTCACAAATGTGAGTGCTACCTCACAACAGTAGTCGGAGTGGCGTAGCGCTCCGGTAGAATGAAAGCATCTTCGTCTGAGTTTTCAATTAGTCTGACCAAATTTGCCCATTTCTTTTTTGGGCACTATCGCTCCATCTCACTCAATGAACAAACAATCAAATGACTATGTGCAGACATTTACCGAGTAGCAGGGATGCTGACATGAAGCAGATTGATCATTTTGGTTTTCTAGCGACGCTTTCTTTCGACCGACTCGAATGGACGTCAGTCCGTCAAATATACTGTTGGAAAACTTGCTGAAAACTTGTGTTCGATCTATACTTGGTTTGCTCGACCGACGGTTACTGATCTGTTTGGTTCACTATTGAACTCTATTACCCTGAAGCGCATCACATGTGCTACATGAATCCTGGCCTCAAAGCTTCCGGTTGTGTAAAAGTAAGCGTCTCCTAATCTTTTAGTTCGATTATTAGCCGTCCGTTCAATTATGGCCACTAACGTCGGCTTATTCGAATCCTCAAGAATTTAACATTTTGTGTTGCTGGTCTACGCCGTTTAACATGACACCGGATCTGTGTTCTGTCGGTAGTACAATCAGCATCCTCTTGGGGTTCTAGGTTCTTGTTGCAGGTAGTCACTGGCCCGTATAACAGTCGACATTCGGTGGAACGGAATCCACTGTGCCTCTATCCTGTCCCGGAAGAGATCAACAATTCATTAGGTGCCTCAGTAGCTTGTCACAACTCGCTCTCTGCCGTTCATCATGGCCTCGGTCAAATGTGTATCCTTTCGGGTCAAATTAGACAGTAGCCTGTCCCACTTGTGTCTCTTTTTTTGATTAACACTCAATTTGATTACCCTACTCCCGATTTGCTTTCCGGATCCAGATCAGAAGTGGTATCTCCTTCTGAGCCACGTCAATCAGATCCTTATGCTAATCACTATGCAACTGCGACAAGTGACAACACGCTATTTCGGGGACCCTTCCATACCGGTTGAACAGTTACGGACATTGCTCAGGTGTCACTTGGCCACCGTGGATTCGGTAAGCCGCCAGTCTAACTAATGACATCTACCATAACCGTACTCTCAGTCTGAATCATATTTTCATCAGATGCGATGCAGTTTTGTTTGTAGTCCGAAACACAGTGACTGAACCCTGTGATCTGTGAGTCACATAGACAAAATCAAGTCAATTGTGGACCGAAAAATGTGTCGCATCAAATTTTTGACGTGCATGCAACTGAAGGTCATTTAGGAATATGATATGCTGTGAAAAGAATAGATGTTTAAGTGGGAAAAACGCAAAACTAAAAAGCATGGTGCAGGATAAATCACAGGAGATTTTGTCGTTTCCTGTAAACCAGTAAATGAGAAAGATACGTAACCATTGCGAATTGAATGGTTCAAATTTGTTACGGTTCACGGGAGTGGACATGAACGAGAGTGGGTTGAATGTGGAAGATGTGATGCAGCAGAGAAGACTGAATCACGCGAACAGTCGCATACCATAAAGTTTTGGTTAATAAAAGAGTGATCTACCGCTTCATTAGGCGGCCAGTTCCAAATCTAGAGATTTTTTTGGTGACGTATATCTTTCTTCGGTCTTGATGCGATGCATAAAGGGGCCCAGTGTTTCCAATTTCTAAAAAGAAAACGCCGGCTTCTGTCACGAAAGATTGAGTAATCCACATGAGGAGGTCCTGAAACAAAAGAAGTGTAAATCTAACAGGGGAGCAACAAGTCAAGTGGCACATTATGCACATTTGTATGCATTTGCATCCTCACATATCGCCACTGTCTGACAATATGTCTGTTGCACACCAAAAACCATGTGCGGTCAGTAGATAGACAGCATCGGAGGTATTTGAAATATTGTGTAATCTTTCATCGATTGAGTAGTTGATTAGATTGTTTGGAACGGGTGATCCGCAGACCTAAGTGTTGAAATAGTTAGATTGACGGGTGAATTTTGAATGTAAAAAGACAAAGAAAAAGGCTATAAAATTGCGCATCATCTCATGACTATCCATTTGGATGAAGGCGTAAATGGAAGATTGAAATGCTCAAGCCAGTGTCAGGTTAAAAACGGGAATCCATGAAGTTTCAGATTGCCAGTATGGATATGTATATTTATCATACACGTCTGAGGCCAGAGTATGCGTCAAACAAATCATGGTGCATTAATCTACATAAAAAACAAAAACGTTCGTTGCGTGTAGGTCGAATACTGCTAGGTTACCCAGGCCAAGGCCGGTGCATGTTCTTAGGAAGTTCACAGTCGGAGCCTTGGGCTAGCCAAAGCCTGACCCACAAGGCAGTGGGGCGGTGTGTAATAACCGTAATCCATTGGGGGCCGGTGCCCAGTTCATTGGATCATGCACCATTTGGACAGGATCAAACGCCCAATTAGACCGGCGACCACTGCAGCGATTAGGAAGGTGTGTGCGGTTCATACGACTCTTCTTGGTGTGTTTAGAATGGAGGTTTTTGGCCAACTTCCCCAGATGAGCTACCAGTGGTCCACCAATCCGATTATAGCCCCGAATGTCGGCTTTTTGTCCTCCCACTTTAGTAAGAAAACACCTCCACCACGAGAAGGCAGTGAGTGGAGCTTCATGAGCAGAGGCTGTTTCAGACGCTTGGTCGTATAGGAGCATGTGCGAGATGAAAGGAAGGGTGTACAGCCGCAATCCTAGACACCCACTGCCGACCATACTGATGCTTACGAAGGTGGTCATGGAGTAGTGAATACACATAGTCCGCTGATTTCAATTCACTGCCGTATTACTCAGTGCTTCTAATGATCCCGATGTCCCCATTCACAAAGCCTTACGCGATCTGTTCGAGCAAGTCTCCCGGTTAAAGTTTTTGTACCCTCCAGCTTGAAATGCGGCAAAGCACTGTTTATTGCCTATCATAAAATCGTTCTTGTTCTTCGGATTCTCTGCAATTCGTTTCCTCACATCTGTGTGTGTGTGTGTGTGTGTGTGTGTGCGTTGACGTAAATGATAATACCATGATAATCTCTGTGCTTTTGCATGTTCAGCTTTTCCATCATCCGACTCTGGGTCGGGAATCATCTCGTGAAACGCTACGCGAATTAATTCAGTCCTTACTGCAACTTCTCCTCGACGAACGAACGTGTGAATTGCCCGATGGCGAAAATGTGATTCGTGCAATCAACTCGTTATGTGTCCGGATAATCGATTCGGCCAACGGAACCCGTGTTTTGAGGTGAGTTTCAACATCCTTTCCTTTCCATTCACGATACAAAATGACTTTTCGCAGGTTACAACACGCGTCGAATTACCTTGTGATCACGTCTTTTTTAGTTTTTCTTCACCGACGTCTGATTTCACAATTGGCTCTCACATTGGTTCATCTTTTGTTTATTGAAAAGCAATCGATAGTTATCCCAAGTGTTTTCGATCTTTCAGTTAAATCCTTATGACTCCTGTAATGTTGCTGCATACTGTCACTCATTGTCGCATAATCGCTGACACCTCGCCCCGTCGGGACTTAGGTCTTTTTAGTCTGCATTCCTACTTTAAAGTGCAGTAGGTCAGAGGGGAAGTCGTTTCAGAACATGTTACTGCTCG